CTTCAAATGAAACACAATACAAAATAAGATGGTTTTAAAAGAGTTTAAAAGAGGATGAAAAGTTAATGATCGTGGTTTAATCCTCAATAGCTAGTATTTTCTGCTGATTCTAATGACACGAATGTAGATTTTCCATTTATTGTCAGTAGGAGCAAGAAAATGTTCAAAATATTTATTCTAAATTCCTTAGGAATGTATTAACTAATAATAATATACACATATTAAAACCAGACTTTTAAAAATTTTCTTAAAAAAAAATCAGGTCAAAATGTATTGCTCGGGTCTCTTTCATTTCCCTTTAATATGTGACGGTTTATAAAAGTTGTGTCTATAATGTAACAAGTGAAATAATACTTCAGTTTAAAAAGATAGCTTATATCTATAAATACACACATATTTGTATTTCATTATTTCAGGAAATACACTGCTTCCAGGACAATTTCTGTCAATATTAGATAATTTTTAAATAGTTTTCCAGCAGATAAGAGTATAACCTGCAAAATTTCTATCATAAACCAATGATTTCTCTCTAGTGGGGAGCAAACATTTAGCAAATGTATTAAAAGTAAACAGGGAAGGGGAAAGGGATGAATAGAAAAGAATATTATATCACTATCTGCAGCTAACTGTTTTAACAGTACACAAGGAAACTTTTTAATCTTCAAGTCAATGAAGGTTAACACAATAAATTTCTGAGTACCTTTTTTTTTTTTCTAGAACTTAATCTCTTCTGCTGAAGATATTTTAGAGACTTTATCAGTTCTGTGCAGACCCAACTGCTAGGAAAATTTACTTAAACATAGCAAAAGGAGCAAATAATTTTATGAAAATATTTAAGAATGGCTTCTGGGTGGTTTCTCAGTGTACCTAGACTAAAACCAATTGAAAGCCAGCCGCTAGCTGATGATTTCTAGACCTGATAGGCAAGGAATCTCTCGTGTATCTGAACTAAAGGACAGAAGATAATTATTATGTCATTTACAGAAGAATGAGAACAGGGTAAGACACTCTGTACTAGCTGTTCCATTCCCAAACATTCACCTCTGAAGATCTATTTGCATTAATCGAGGTACAATCTGTACTTGGACAATATACCCTTTGCAATCATATCATCATGAAATCTTCAAAGGCTTTTTTAAAATTAAGGTAGAGCTGAGCGACTGGATCCAAGCAGTGGACTACCATCAGCATTTATTCTATTAGTCCACAGGCTAAAATTCATAACATCTAATTTGGTCATGACTCAGTACAGTAATGCAAATATCCGGCCACATGTCATGAAGACATGTCCTATGCAAAAACAAAAGCATCCAGAAGATTTATTAACATTACTGTTTCTTACAGTGATATTGAGGAAAGCTAGTTCTGCATTTGACCTAAATGTTTAGTCTACCAGAACTTCAGAGTAATGAGTAGAGATCTGATATAAAAATATATGAAGAGATCAAAAAAGCATTTTTTCAAATAAGATCAGGACTTCTGAATGCATCCACCACTACCTTATCTGTGGTCTCATGTGACCAAAACCCCTATTAACCTGTTGCTCAAACTCACACTCTGGGCATGAATTTCAGCATCACTCACATGACTGGAATGTTGTTTTGGCTCACAATTTCTACAGCTAGAAATGGGCATAGGTAGATTAAGACACTTGGCATTATGAATGAGAGCCCTTATGCCATCTCTGTATGATGAAGGAGACCGATCAACAAATTATTTCTGAATAGTTAAGAAACCCCCTTAGAATCTTTAAAAAGAAAAAAAATCAGAGCCATTATTCTAAAAATACAAGTGCCTGACCTCTGGGTGGTATCTGCAGTGTCAGGTTCCTACTAGTGTATTAATTTATTGAAGATATTTTCAAGAAAACCTGAACTTCAAAGCAGTTCAGTATATATTCAGCATGTTCGGTAACTGTGAATAAAAAGTTTTGAGGTAACTGATCACTGTTTTTACAGTTTTGAAATGATTTCGGAAAGAAGGATCTCTCAAAACTCTCAAGGCCCAAGGTAAAAACTTGGGTGGGGACAGAAAGCAACAACTTCTTGTTTTGCAAATATTTTTATTCTATTTTCAGCAGGATTTTAAAAGTTTAAGGTCTTATATTGACCCGGACAGTCTTTACATTTTATTTTTATTTCTTTTACTAATGAAAATGCCTGTAGGAAAGAAAGCAGCTTTTATAAAGAATAAGGGTCATTTTGAAATTTCAGTCATAAAAATGACTTGGAACAATAAAAATCTTTGCTGAGTTAAACGCTAGTTTCAAACCAATATGTAAAAATACAAAAGAAAAAAAAAAACTTCAGACTCCTTAACTGTAAAAGATGAATTAGCTTTAAAATGCCCATCACTTAGATATTATACCACATCTGTCTGTGAACTTGGAAAACCTGATGTTGATATTATCCCACAGTCACTTTCAGGTACAGTATTTCTCTAAAATAATATGGCATGGTATTAGCTCCAAAGCCATTTATTTTACATACTCAGTGATGGAAAACTATGTGCAGAGGTAACCAACCAGGTTTAAATGGGTTTAGTTTCATTTGGTGCATGACTGTCTTACACATATAATTTCCATTAATTACATTGTAAATCCCCTGATATAGCATGTTGAGCAGACTCACCCTGAAAACAGTCATCAGAAGAGATAGCTACTATACCATGAAACATAAAATGGTTGGAAGCTTCATAGGACTTATTACTTGTAAAATACACAAGGCAAAAAAAGAGAAACTGCTGTAGAACACATTCAAATGCACTTTAAAAAAGATAAAAGGAAAAGCAACAAGACTGGGCAAATTACCAATGTTATACCCATATTCTTAAAGAAGCAGTACATTGCTACAGTATGCATTGACTAAAGAATCAGTGAATGTTCAGCTAGCCCAAAAGGCGCCACCTTTCACCACCTCTTCCTCTCTACTGCTGACCTTATTCAATTCCTTTTCTGTATTCAGATATATAATTCAGTCTCAACTCTCAGCTGCTGCAGATAGAACTTTGTGTTGTCCTTAAACGTGAATTCTTTAGACTGGATATTTTTTGCTTCTTAGCTGCACTTGATTTACTAAAACCACAAAGTAGCCACAGCTGTGATTTGTATGGTCCAGCGAGGACTCTACTGCCCTCCAGTATAGGAGGTATGTCTTGGCAAAGTGGCACACAACAGTCTCTATTGCACTGCAGTCCTTACAGGCGTTCCGCCCATGAGGTAACACTGAACAAACTTGCATCTTCTCATTGGGTATTGCCAACACTTCCAGCCCAGCGACTGAAAGCCATACACTTTCTTGTTCTGACATGTCTCCAATATCTTGCCAAGATTTCTGGACCAGTGGAGGTTCTGGCACCTTTGATTTCCCTCCAAAACTGTCCTCTGCTCTCCCATTTTATGTTGCCATGACAAAAAACAGCACCATCATTCCTTTGTGCTGATACCACTTCATTTGTTTTTCTGCGTTCAGACCTCTGAGTCTTCCCCTGGAAATTTCTCCAATGCTCATAATTTCAGATTCTTATCCTCAGCTATGTAATGCCCTTTAAAACATTGTTTTTCCATATTTATTTGTTACTGTATCTCCCTCTGATACCTCTGTCAAATTTGCTCTCCTGTTCTGAACCGAACACCAGTTCTCCTGAATGGAAAGTAACCTAGTGCAAGCCCCTACACACAGACCTCTGGATTACGCTTTCTGAATGGAGAATCTTCTCCTAAGCCACCAGCACTGCTCCACTTTCCTCCTCTGCCCTCTCCCCACATTCCCCATGAGCTTCTGTAGCACAGAACAAGCCAAAATATACAGCCCAGGATGGCTTCTGGGAGATACTAAATTTGCTTAGAAGTTAAAAGGGAATTTTTACATTCTTCAGAACATTCAGTCTGTGTATTATCCTAGAAAAAACATGTTCCTCACATTGTTACTACTTCCTTTTTACTTTAAATTGTTTTCCAATTCTTCTTTCTCAGTTTCAATTGAAATAATAAAGCTGTTCACTAGTAGGCCTCTGTCTTTATAATGTGCAGTCATATCACCAAGCATAACAGGACGCCCTGTAGGTAATTAACACCGGTAGCACCAACACCAAATTCAGCTATAAGAGCATGTTGTGAATTATTGACTGCAGAAAGAAAACTTAAATTAGATTAAATAATATGAAACAAAATAGAAGAATAAAATAAAATTGCAAATTCAAAATATTTAACAGAGTTGACAGAAAAAAATAATCCATGGAACATGCTGTTATGGAAAAATTTATACATGTGTAACCAAAGACAGTCACTGTATCATCAGAACAATGTAACCGAAAGTTTTCTAATGAAGCACAGATGTAAAGAAGAATGAACTGGCACAGCCAATCTCTCTGAACTTTCACCCCTGTATTTCTCTATTTCTCTGTTAAAATAAACATGATACTTTAAAATGAAAAGAACCTTTACATTTCCACAACTAAACCATGTTCTGCCTAATTGTCTGGAGGAATTTACGCGGTAATAATATCATCATTATTAAAAATATTAAATACATACATGTGAGGAAAAAGAGCTAATACATGCACACATTATATTTGTTTATAATTCCCTAAGTACTAGATACATTTTACATGAAATCTAGAAATACATTTATTAGAAACCCACCGGCCCTCTGCATTGTGGGAGCCCATGCAAGGCGTGAAAGCATTGCTGGGGAAACTGAAAGGTTTGGTTAGGAAAGCCAGCTTTTATACAGCAGAGCAAAATCACCGAGAAACCTGCTTCCACCCATAATGGAAATTGTATATTTTAATGCATTGCTTACTGTTGTTACTCAAATCTTCCCAGACACTATCTGGTCATGTTCAGTATTACTGTCCTGCAGACACTTACTTCAACATGCAGGGTAAATGCAGCTAATAAGCATAATTAGCTCAGACAGTGTATTTAATTTAGTTTTGCACTAAAGACTAATTGCCTACTCAGCGAAGGGGAAGTGTAACATTTTTTTTAAGATGCTTACCCGAGGGCCCTGATCACCTTGATCTCCCTGCAAAGTGGAAAGATGAGATGATAGGTTTAACACAGCGTCTGTGTGCTACCCAGCTCTCTTACATAATCTAACATTACACTGCATCAATACAAATGGTCTCTTTAGTTCATGCTGGGAGGGCTTTCCGTTCACCTTGTAAGTGTCACCCATACATCAACTCACCTTCTCGCCTTTTGGACCAGGAGGGCCCTGAAAGAAACAGAAGTAAAGATGAGTTACTGATACTGATGAAGTCCTGCAACATGGCAAGAAATGGGTTTGCGCCAACCTGTGATTGCTTCCTAACAATGTATTTCTTTGCAACTTTTCCACTCCAAATGCCAGGGCTATTCCAGAGACAGCTTCTTTACTGTATTAATAATAGGCCCTATGCCGTTATTTCTTGAACAGTTTGCTCACCCCATGTGCTGAATCAGACTACTTAGACAAGCAAAACTATACCTGAAATGTCAAAATTCCTACTGATTTCAGTTAGTGACAAGAGTTTATCTCCTATCAGATAATAAATGTTTTCTAAGATTGTAAAACTTCTTTGCAAGCGCAGCTAATAAATTCAGAGACATATAAAACTGCCATGTATTTTGGCATCCTCCTTGCCTTACATTGCCAAAGAAAAATGGATTAGGGAGTCTAAAAGTAGTGTTTTCATTCCTATCTTTGGCAATGCTGAAGTTGATGTTTAGTCTCAAGCACACTGTTTTAGCCAAAATGAGCTCTTTGTATAACGTGATTTTGCAGAAATAATATTTATTGTTACTTACCACCAGACAAACAGTAAGGTGACAGAATCACAAACCAGCGAGGTCTTTTCCTATTCCATTTTTATTGAGCACCTTCCAGAAAGCTACCAGCAGGTTTCTAAAATACTAGTTTTCAGGTTAGTGTCTTGCAAATAAAAATGCTAGCAGTCTGCAGAGAACTGGCTGCTTACACAGTGCAGACTCTACCTCCAGCTTTCTGAAAGATACGCAGGTGTTTCATTACAAAGAAGGACCTGAGGTACATAGTAAAGCAGCTGGAAACAGAGAAGGAACCACCCAAGATAGTAGGGTCCACTGTTCTAACACAGGGTGTGTGTGTGTGTCTGTGTGTACACAGCACAAGAAAAGGTTGCTACCAGCAACATAATTAGAAATAACCAAGTGCAACCTAATTGAGCTGAGCATGTTTGAACCATTTCAGAATTTACACTAGTAGAAATTCATGTGGTTCACATAAATGCAAATGGAAGGAAGGTCAGTCTGCTGTGTATTAAAGATGTGATCAACCACATGCAAGTCTTTGAGAATCCCTATTGTAGCCAATTTTCTGTTATTTTTAAGAGTTTCTGATGCATGCCAGAAAAGAGCATCTGCTGATAAATCTTTCAAGAAGTTGAAGCATATGCCTCTCCTTCCATAGCTGTCATCTCTTCCGTCAGCTGCAGAGGACATACAAACAAGCCTGCTACCTGGTGTCCCCACATCTCCTTTAGGAAGGACAGTACTCACTGCTAGCCGAGGAGAAACCATCTGCTCAATTAACTGTGACCTCTGTCCAGTTTGTGTTGCTCTGCAAGAACTTGCCCTCTTCAAAAACATATTCAACAAAATATGGTTTTGATACAATCTTGCTGCAGCTTTAAGGCTTCTCCATCTATTTTTTTTTTTATGCTTTAGTTCTTACTGACTCTTTCCAATGCATGTTCATGTAAATACACTGGCAACTACATGCAGCACTTTCTACTGTTAGCTACTGATTCCACACATGCTTACTTGGATGTGACATTACAGTAGAGCACATTTTCAGCAGGGCCACTTTAAAACATACACATATATGTCATCTAGTTTGTGAATTCGCAAACTCATACCATCAGTAACACAGTAACTGCAGAATGGGAAGAACTAAAATCAGTCAGTGCTGCCGTTACTGACTTTTTCACCACGAACAGTGAGCGCAAGCGAAGGGCTGCACTCATGTGTTCTATCTCCTTGAACTATCAAACTGTTACTGGCTCTGAATACCTTATTGGCTGCAAACTGCAAATAACATGACCCCTATCTGCTACAGTCAGAATCCTATTTCTTGGGGTTTAGGCGTGAAATTATGGATAACATGACATGACCGAGATGGCAGACAGATGTTGGTTTTTGGATCACGCTGTGATTGTGGGAGTTATTACTGCCTTCATCCAGATGCTCAGCGCCACTCTTACGCCCAAGGGTAGCTCTGCTTCTGATGGGTTTTGGCTCATAGCTTCTCTGAGGCGTGCCTGCCACAGCTCTGCCAGTTGGTACAAACTAAGACATCAGAGACCACATCACCCCCCTGAACTAAGCTGGCTCACTGGAACAGAAACAAGTTGGAGCGTGCTCACACTAGAGGTTCAGCAGATCAGCGGGGCTACCAGGCTGTCTCCCTGGTACAACTGCTGGCAATATGCTCAGCTGTCCCCACCTGCAGAAGTGGTCTCAGATGATCTCCTGCGTATTCTCCTCTGTTAAGTTGTCTGAAAGCACAATCCATACCTAAACTTTTTTTTTTTTTCTTTTTTAATAAGACTGAATCACGTATCTCAATTAAATTTTGTTCTCCTGTTTCTGTGCAGAGTTTTCTGAAAATTACCTGTCCACATCATAGTCAGAAATCCAGGGTTTTTTTTTCTGATTGCTTTCTACTGGGAAAAGCCAGCAATTATGATGGCTTGGTGTTTACTCTCCCTGAGTGCCATACACCATTGCTGGTATTAAGTCATTCTTCCAGCACACAAAATCTTCATCAATATCTAACAACTTTATTGTACTAGAAGGTAAAAACAGCTTTTCAAAAGGCCACAAGAGCATTTCTGGTGTGAACATTCTCACAAGTCTCTGCACTTGTATTTGCAACGCTTTTGTTTTCCACCAAGTCTTGAAAAACAAACAAACAATTGGAAACAAAAATAGCTCTTTTGGGTGCTAGTGAAGAGAACCAGTGGGGTTTCATCAAAAGAAAATTAATGCAATTCTTTCATGGCTTGTTCACCCATCTCTGGCTCTTCCCCCATTGTTTCAATCGTTCTCTATTGTTTTTGCAACTTTAGAAAGAAAATTCCTATCCTCAGCCTTTGACATCTTCTTTCCATTTGTGCTGAGAAATTCTCCCAAGGTTTTTACTGCAGAATTTATTAGTGTGTACACTGAGTGGAGGCAGGGAGGAAGAAAAATCTGAGGGAAAGTTGGGTTTGTGGGGGCGGGGTGTGATTAGGAGACAGATTTGTTTAAAGGAGGGCAAGGTTTCTTCTGTTTAAGGGTATAGACACAAAGAACAGAGTGAGTAAAATAACACTAGCTTTGTAGGCCACAGCATAGACATCCTGCCTTTTTCCCAGGGAGACTTCTGTGCTTTCGTTTATGAGATGGCAGAGATCAAGCTGCTAGCTGCTGCACAAATGCGAAAGCATTTTGTGTAAGTTATATGAAACGTCTGAGGTCAGAGCATTTCTGAAATAACTTTACAGTGTTTTCACTGGAAACAGAGGCTCTTTTCTCGAAGTGTAATTATCTACTCCGGACTACTATACATTTCCAAGGAGAGTTTATAGCCTGTTTCACATAAGCAAGGCCTTGTAAATCACAAACACATGCAAAATCTGCATTCATAATCAGGCGACAAATACTACTGTTTTTAAAACAAGGTCTCCCAAAGCAGACTGAAAGGCCGCCAGGCACCTGCCAGGCAAGAACAAAGCTGAAATCAGGGTCAAATCCATTCAACAGCCATGCTCAGGATTACTGGCAGGTGACATTTTTCTTTTTTTTTGGTTATCAAAATCCCTTTTCCATACTCTGATGAAATCTTTACATCATTATAGATTTGTGTACAAGAAATAGAAGGGCAAAAGAATGCAATACTAGAAAACATGAGACCAATCCCTGTGGTCTTCATTCAGACAGCATTCCCCTTAGGGTTAACTGAGTATGATCAGCATGATTTTTCATACAGCTGGCTTTTTATAATTCATTCCCTGAAAGATGCTGATTTTATATTCCATTCTTGCAGCCATTGCCACCTTTATACTTTCACAACAGTTATATTCAGAGTACCTCTTCAAAAGCCAGTATTTGATTTATACTGGTTTTACAATCATTCAAAATTATCTGAATGCTGTTATACCTGTATTCTCTATATATTCTTATTGCTATAGATCTGCCCTTAACCATAATCCAGGCAGTTCTACCATTACTTTACGAAAAACACTCCAAGCATTGAGAGGAAAGTAAGACTGAAAATAGTAAGGGATTCCGAAGAAAGGGTTCAAAGAAACAGCGATGTTTCTAGGTTCTGTAGAAACTTCCAAAGTCAGGGCAGAGGAATCCACATTTTTAGTGACTGTTAGATAACCCATACAATGCCACTGCAAAAAGGACCTGCCAGTGCCCAGCACAAGCTGTCATCAGCCAACCAAGCAGAATCAGTTGGGCTCTGACAGTCCCAAGTCCCAGTGGGATCATCCACCTTCAATGCTCCCAAGGAACCTGAGACACCGAACTCAGCAGCTCCCATCAGACGGAGTAATAACAGACTTTTAGATACAGTCACTGCTTTCCTACATTTCAACCGTAACAGCCATATGTTAAGGCAACCTGGCAGCTAGAGGAATGAATGTAACTTGCAAGATTCAGCCTTCTTTTTCATTTGGGATGAAACAGCATACAATGAGTTCATCCCTACTAGCAGCTACAGCATTCACAATAAGAGTGTAACTGGCAGCGTAAAGGAATAGCAGCCTTGTGGGGACAAGCACAAAAGTGAAGCAGACAGTCCAGTGTCATCTAGACACATTCAAAAAAGAAACCGATTTGCCAGCTTAGTTTAATCATGTTTTCACAAATAAATGACATGCAATACATTGCCTAAGTTAATCCAATTCCTGAAGTTTATGTTGAGGGTAAAAAGGTGGTTTCAGCACATAACAACAAAGTGTTCAGTTACAGAAGTCAAACTTCTTTCTTTGAATCTGGCTGATGACTTTGACAAATTACAAGTTCCTGACCGGAACAACAATCCCCAGTCTAACCTATAGTTGCTGTAAAATATTATGATCAGATATGCTGAATCATAAGATAAAAGGTTACACAGAGTATTATGAAATACAATTCTATTTCAAAGCTCCTACACTCATTTTAGTCTTGCATCCACTATGCAAGCCCGGAACTACTGAGTAATGT